TTTTTTAAATACAATAATAATTTTATTAATCTATATATAAGCAATAATAATTATATATCAATTAATATTAATATAATTACTTATTTATTTTTTATTTTTTTTTAAAATAAAAAATATTGTAATATATAGTTTTTATTAAATATTTAATTATAACTTTATATTTTTACAATTTTCTTTTTGCAAATTAATTTATATCTAATTATTATAATTCAATTATATTAATTATTATCAAGTAAATATATAGTATCAATATGTCAAATAGAATTATTAAAGATAAAAGTTTTAATTATAGTTTAAACTACTTAATTTAAATAATTCAATTATATTGAAAGTTTTTTTTTATAAAAATATATATTAATATTTAATACATTACTTATTATATTATATTTTTAATTTATATAACTTATTTTTTTTAATTAGCTAAGGATATTAAATATAAGATTTTATTGATATTTATAAATATTTTATCATTATATTAAATATCTTTTATAAACTAAACTATTTTAATCTAAATATAATTTAATATTACCTAGTAATTATTATTTTCAATAGTACTGATTTTCTTTAGATTAATTTAATTAATTTAATTAATTAATTTATATTAAGTAAATAGGTCTATCTTTAGATAAGACTTAAACCTATTTATTTCATTAGTTCAATCATATTTTTTGACTATTCATTTGAAAAAGATTGTTTAGAATATTATTATAAAAATTAATTTTAATATTTCAGTTATTGTTATTATCAATTCTAAAAATATATCATTAATGTAATATAGTACTATTATTTTATTACTTGTAAAATTGGCATTCTTGTTTGGATTTCAATTTAATCTTATATAATTCTTATTAGATATATTTGACTTAATGATTTTTGTCTAAATTCTTATTATTTATAATTAATATCTTGTTTTTCAATTATATAATTAAGTTCTATGAAATATCATAATTGAAATAGATTTACAAGTTTTAGATTGGAATAGATTTACAAGTTTCAAATTAAAATATATTGACTTAAAATTAATCTTTTTGGATTATATAATAGAGTCTATTATTATCAGTTTGAATTAGAGTTAATAAGCTTTTATCAAAATTAAACCAAAAGATTTTTTTTATATGATTTTTTATATTTTGACCTGTAATTAATTTGTAATTATTAACAAAATTGGAAATTTTATCTTTATGCAATCTAACTGAATTTGAATATGATTAAAAATTATTAGATATAATATACTGTATATAGAATATTTAGTAAATCTATATATAAAGATAAATGTGCTTTTATATTTTTCATGAGTATTGAATTAGAAACATGTGTTTAAAAATCTAAAAGTACTATTTACTATATTATTAATTTATAGATATTTTAAAAAGTTTTGTTACATACTATATATAATATAATTATAATAAAAATACTAAAATAAAATACAATACAATAAATACTAAAATACAAAAAATTATAAAAGAAAAAATATAAGCATTGGTTTAAAAACTATATATTTGATAATATATTTATAAATTTGAAAACAAATATATTGGCTTCAATTTTATACATGCTCCTTCCCTATATAACATTGCCATTTTATTACTAGTTAATAGAATAGAAAGGTGTTAAGTGTTTTTTGGTTTGAAACTCGAATTTTCGATTACACTAAATGCCAAAAATACTTAAGGCCAGCCAATTACATGGTGTGACGTTATGTTTAATCATCCCTAATTACTAATTAAAAATCGTTACTTCTTTTTTAAACTACTTGTGGAAGTACTTTTTTCGCAAAATCTAACCATGTCGTTTGATAATATTATTAATATTGTTAAAAGTCTCTCTGAAGAGCCTAATAAGTTAAGTGTGGAGGAGAGGGTCAAATTATACGCATACCTCACTAAAAAAGATAAATTAACTGATGTGGAAAAATTACTTAATCTCTGCGAGACAAATAACGCTAAACTTGAATACTTGAGGCTATTGAAGAAGTCTGTTTTTAGTGCGTTCCTATTATTGCCCGACTGTCATACTTTCCAATAATACCGAATACTTACATAATCTTGTCTTTTTTTCCTGCTTTTTATCGTCAAACTCGCCAAAAAACACATTTGCATTATTGTCTTTCAAAATTTAACCAATATTTTATTTCACTTTCAGTGGAGAACAAGGTAGTTTTTCTGATATTATTTAAAAACGTTGTTTATATCATAACGTTTCGTTTATCTTACAGAATTAAAGAGATATATTGATGAAGTTGTCGATGAAATAAAGTTCAAAATGGACAAATATGCCCGTGAATTTAAGAGAGTACGTTTTGCTGCGGATGCATGGCACAGTTCTCTAGGTATGTTATTCGCTTAGTTTTTCAACTATTTCCGGAAACATCATTAACAATTTGTGTTTAGGTACTCTTACGAAAACCGAAAAGGGTAAATTTGTGCAAGAAAGAGGCGTTGAAATTCAGTTTCCGCTTGGTTTGACCAAAAGTTTCATAGCAAAATCACCCGGAAAGTTTTTACAACCGCCTAATATGGACAAGAACGCAAATCCAAAAGAAAAAATGCAAGATTACTTTATGGATGAATGCAAGGCACTAGAAAATTATGCAAACATACAAAACAAACTTATTGTCAGAGACACACATTTTTCACCATTTCTGGATACTCGAAAATCAGATTTTGTATTCGTTCCGAACGATTCTCCTTTGGATCCGTTAAGTGTTGTAGCCGTTGGTGAGATCAAGAAGCGAGTTAATGGAAGTTTTAGCAATACAGATATAGGACATGCAATATCATTTGGAGAAAAAATACTACAACTTCAGCCACGGCGAAACTATGTGTATGTAGTGTTGACAGATTGTATCATCATCAATATATATAGGGTGAACAGAAATGAAAACTACACAGAAAAATACACCCATTTCACATATAACCACGTAAAAAGTGAAGATTTAGCATACAACACGCAAGCTAGTCCTTCGAAAGGGTGGAGATACCTGGTAACAATAATTGAATGCTCTCCAGAAAGATTGGGATGGGTTGAACCATCATTGAAATTTGGCGAAGAAACTGTAAAACTGGTTCGGTCAATTGGCGTAGGCAGAACTAGTGTTGTGTATGAAGGAATATACAAAGACATATCTGTGGCCGTGAAAATGATGAAAAAGGCAAATTATTTGTCCTGCATTGAAAAAGAAAGAGCTGTATTGGAAGAACTTTTGGAGTTGAGTTCACCTCATATCCCAAAAATTCTTTTTTACAATGAAAATACTCTTGTTATGACTCCTCTTGGTGAGAAAGTTAGTAGTTTGCGAAAAACAGATATCAAGGATATAATCACCACTCTCAAACATGTGCATTCATATGAATATGTACATAGGGACCTTCATAAATATAATTTTCTTCGTAATTTAGACGATTCAAAGGAAACTATTTTAATTATTGACTGGGGTTTTAGCACAAAGAATCACGAAGACACGGCATTTGCAGGGGCACTTGAATGTATGCCGGATGAAGTCCTGGAATCACTAACTAAAGAGGAAAATATTGTTTATGGGCCAAAAGTTGACCTGATATGTTTTGTGCGATCATTCTATCTGATGCTACACAAACCATCAATGGAAAGAATCACTTTTGACAGAGATGATGACATCAGGAAACGAGCACAAATGATGTTAAACTTTTGGAAAGATTATAGTAAGTCGGACGTGTGGGATAGCATATACCAAGCAATAGAGAGCTTGGATTACGACAAATTAATTAAAGAACTCGAAAGATTTTTTTAAGTTGCTAGTTTTGTAGCCTAGATAATTTTGTGTTATTACTGTAATCAAAATATATCAAAGCTTCGTGAAGTTAGCTGAATTAGATTTTCGAGCTTGTCAAAAAATTAGCAATAAAAATATGCCTACCTTTAGTAATTATCGTTCGAATAAATATATAATGGTGACTCTAATTATCATTTTCTTATCTTTTTTACACTAAATCCAATTACCTTTATCTTTTTTAGTTATAAAAACTTATATTAGTAAGTTCATTTTTCAATTTTTCAAGTAAAATTTCCTAAAGAATAGAGATTCTATTACTTGTTTTAAATTACTTGATATAAAGTATTAAGATATAATTATAGAAGATTATTTTAAAGTCTATATAAAAGCATTTAATTTTTTTACTTGCAATAAAATTAATCTTTATATTATATTATAATCAAAAACTTGTTCTTACATAGTATTTTTTATTTTATAAAAAATTCAAAAATTTGATTTTATATAGCGTATTTAATATAAATAGATATATTTTTCAAATAAAAATCTTGAAACAAATAAATACAAAATAATTAACTATTTAAGAACCAATATTTTTTTAATAATGTTTAATGCTATAAACAAAATATTATTTATCATTAATAAAAAAAAACTTTATTAAAATTAAATAAAAACCAGATAACTTTATAATCTAAATATATAAATTTAAATCTTATCTATTAAAAAGTTAAAAGTTTGTAACTTTCTATTATTGTCAAAATAAAACTTGTTATAATCTTATTTTTACAAAAAAAATTTACATTTTGGTATAATTAAATTAGGTTACCAATTTAAGATTATATAAATTTTTAAGGCAAATCAAAATACAAGAACAGATTTTATTAGAATATTAATAAAAAAAATTGGTTTCTTATTTATTTTAACTATTTTTTTAATAGTGTCTTTAAAAACCAATAATTTCAAGTATTGGATTTTAGAAAAAGTAATACATTTATTTTAATAAAATAATTTTTGTATAAAAAACAATTGTTTTATAAGTTTTAAAAAAATTTAAAAATTCCAATAAAGATTATTTATCTTTATAAATATCAATAATTTTATAATATTGACTTTTAGCTAATATATTTTTGAAATTCAAAATAATAAATAAGTAACTATAAAATTTCACATTTAATACTCATTTTGTAATAAATAAAAAAAAAATAACTTTATTTATTTATACACTGTATAATTTAGGACTCACACAATGGTTTCTATTTTCAAGCTTATATTTATTTTAATAATGATTTAACAAGATTATAATCCATTAATTTGAATTCATTTATTCAATTACAAACAGATTGGAGGACTTAGGCAATTTTTTTTGTTATCATTCTGATACATCACACATACCTATAGAGACTACATGATTAAAATAAGACATTTGATTATATCGCTAAGATAATTTATAATAATTTTCTTAGTCGAGTAATGCAAAAGGCAGAATTTTTAAAACTGGGATATGAACTTTATGGAGAAATGAGTTCGATTTTCCATGGTATGACTGATCAGTAAGAGTAGCACTAGTCGAAATGGATTTATTCGACATTATGCCACTTGTCAATCATTCGTCAAAAAAGTATATAATTCGGCTAATCAAAATTATATAACTTTTATCTTCAGCTAT